CTTTTGGTTGTCAACAAATACCCTTCTATCACTTTAAAAGTTTAATACGTAAGGATTTTGAACCACGCATGCCACATGGTACGAAAGCTTTGAATTAATGTACATTGCCCTGGTGGTTTAGCAGATTATACATTGGGCTGCTGTTCGAACCCACCAGCTGCTGCACAGGAGAAAGATGAGGCTTTCTATTCCTATAAAGATTTACAGCCTCTCCCCATGGGCAGTTCTACTCTGTCCTATAGGATTGCTATGAATCAGCATTGACACCAAGGAAGTAAGTTTATTTATTTTCACCTTTATTGTTATTCAGCAAATGCTTTCAACGTATTACTGGTTACTGACCATTTTACTAGATGCTGGGGGTGGGGTGGGGATGTTGAACAAATCAGACTATCCCTAACTTGTAGTTTAGCAAAGGAGACTGACAGTAGGCAAATCAATAAATGGTTCAGTAAAGAACACTCAAAAAGTGCGTTTAAGAAAAGGAAGTGGCCAGCGTGACCATATAATAGGAAGATTAAAGCCAGGTGGAAATGATCGTGGAGGCCTAAGGGCTGCGAGATGATGAAAGCCATTTTTTCACAAAGAGCTGTATTTGAACAGAGGTATGTGAGATTAAGAGCAATCTGAAGAGTAGAAAAGCATTCCAAGTAGCAGGAACTCCCTCCTCTCCCTTCCCAAATCTCCCAGACTGACTGCCATCAAATAGATTCTGACTCAGAGTGACCCTATGTGTGTCCGAGGCTGTAAATCTTTACTGCCTCAACTTTCTCCTGCAGAGTCATGGGTGGGCTTGAACCCCCAACCTTGTGGTGGTCAGGCCACCACTTGCCCAGCAGGGCCACCAGGGCTTTGAGGAGTAGTGAGACACATAGAAACAGCCTGAGGTAGGAAAGCGCTTTGCTTTTGATCGGATCTCTACAAAAGCCAGGAAACAGTGAAGCAGGAAGAGCAAGGAGGAAAGGGGAATGGGCGGATGCAGAAAGGGAGGCTAATGCCTATCAGAAAGGATCTTGTTAAAAAACAAAAACAAAGACTTGAATTTTATCTTAATTGCTGTAGGAAGTCACTTGGTGGTACTTTTATATTTGAGGAGATTATTGTCTTAGTTACCTAGTACTGCTATCACAGAAATACCACATATAAGTGGCTTTAACCAACAGAAATCTCATTTTCATAAGTTAGGAGGCTAGACGTCTGAATTCAGGCCGTTGGCCCTTTGGGCTGACTGTCTCTCTGTGCGTTGACTCTGTAAGAAGGCCTTGGTCTCTTTGAGCTCCTACTCCTGCATGATCTTCATGTCCTTTGACATCTCTCTCCCCCCATCTCTGCTCTGCATGCTTGTTTAAGCTCTTGTGCATCTCAAAAGAGAGCGAGTCAAGATGCATCCTATGTTAATCTTGTTTCTTTGAAGACTGAAGGATCAATTATCCCGTATGCACGTGAAAGCTGGACAATGAATAAGGAAGACCACAGAAGGACTGAGGCATTTGGGTTATAGTGTTGACAAACTCAAACCAAAAAGACAGTGATTGCTGTCCATTCACTGCTGACTCACAGTGGTGCCTGGTGAGTTTCTGAGACTAGCTGTTCACTGGGAGTAGAAAGCCCCTTCTTTCTCCCATGGAGCGGCTGGTGGTTTTCAACTGCAGACCTTGCCAATACGCATTGGTATTGGCAGACTACTGAAGATGTTGCAGAAGGACAAATAAGTCTGTCTCGGAAGAAGGACAGCCAGAATGCTGTCAAAACCCAGCGTGGCGCGTCTTACATGCTTCAGACATGTGGTCAGGACAGACCAGTCCCTGGATAGCAGACGTCAGTGAAAAGAGACATGGACTATCAGGGAGACGGATCAACATAGTATCTGCCAAAATGGGTTCAACTATAACAGTCTTGAGGATGGTGCAGGACCAGATAGTGTTTCCTTCTATTGCATATAGGGTCGATATGAGTCGGGACTGACACAGTGGCCTCATTAGCATGACAAAGGCAAGTCTTTCCCAAATGGGGTTATATCAAAAAAGGCACAGAGGTTAGTTACAAGAAATATTGTGGGGATCCACAATTCAATCCATAATAGTTCTTCTATTTGGTTTGTATGTTTTATCTGCTAGATATACGAGGCAAGTAGATTTAGAATATATTTGTAACCATGTGATATTTAAGGATGTAATTAATGTAAAAAAGATGTCATAGTTTTTGATTATTCCATCTAATTAAATCTGATTCTGAACAAGTCGTCTTGGCTGGGAGAACAACTGGTATCAGTCAAGGGAAGGAGGTGGGATTAGGGCATGGAGGATGTGACTCCTCAGTTCATGGTCATCCCCATTACAATCATTGTCCTCTGTTATGAGCCTCTCAGACTGGTCTTTCTCCATTCTTCCAGCAATGCTGTCTGGCATTCACATGGTCTTTTAGAAATACATTTTAAATATTTATTCATCGGTATGTCGATGTGAGATGTGCGATCTGGTGGTGCTGTTGGGTGAGCAGTGAATTGCTAACAGCAAGGGCCCTCCTCCAGAGAAAGATGAGGCGAACTGCCCCAGGAAAGACTTACAGCCTCAGGAACCCCAGGTAGGAGTGCTGTGCATTAGAAAGGACTGGATGGAGTGGCAGTGGGATGTTAATGTGTATTAAAATATAAATAAAAACGTAAAAATAGATCACCTTGTATTTTCTGTACAAGTACATTATTATAAAAATGCTCCACAGGTCATTTAAGTTATGGCATCCATGTTTTCATCACCATATGAATAGTTTTGTGATTTTTAGAAATGCTGTGGTGTCACACCTGCTGTTGTCCCTAGCCATGTTCATGCTGAGATCTGATTTGTTGTAAGACACGTGCCAAACTCTTTTGACTTTTACTTTATATTAATTAATATTAATAGATATTAGCATTGATCGTTACTTTATAATACATTTATTATTTAATAATGACAAATACCTTTTAATTTATGTGATTCTCAATAGGTTGAGAATTTATTAACATTGTGATATTTTTTCACGGTGCTATATCCTCAATTTCTGTTGATTCTAATGCCAATTGCATTAAAAAGTTTCACACTTAAAACGCTGCCTGATGATTTTATTTATTCAATGTCTTTATCATTAAAGAGAGTACAGTGATCATTTTTGAAATGCCATGTTTCATTTGACAGAATATACTGTTTTGGCTGGATGAGAGGCTACGTATAATGATGGTGAAAATATGGAATCCACTTCTGGGCTTCCTGGGTTTGAATTTCAGTTCTGCCACTTTAAAAAGTTTTAGTGACTTTTTGCCTCGATTTCCTTATTTTTATGATTGTGAATACTGTACAAATTACAGTATTCAAATGAGTTAAAATACTAATTGGAGCACTGGCGGCACAGTGGTTATGCACTGGACTGCTAACCACAAGGTCAGCAGTTTGGAACCACCAGCTGCTCCTTGAGAGAAAGATGAGGCTTTCTACTTCTGTAAAGGAGTAAAAGTGGCTGAAACCCACAAGGGACAGATCTACCCTGCTCCATAGGGTCGCTATGAGCCTGCCTAGACTTGATAGCAGTGAATTTTAGATTTGGTGCCTGGTACAGAATTAAACACTAGAGAAGTGTGAGTTGTCATTTGATTATCACAATTAATGTAGCTAATGCCTGTACAAGATGAGTGTTCAGAGGATTTTAGGACAATGATACCATTCACTCTCTGCCATTGAGTGAATTCTCACTCGTAGTGACCCTGAAAATCAGAGTGGAACTTCTCCTGTGGGTTTGTGAAGCTTTAAATCTTTACAAGAGTGGTGGGTTTGAACCACTGACCTTGTTGTTAGCAGCCTGATGGGTAACCTACTGTATCACTAGGGCTCCTATTACAGCAGGTGGAATTCCACCACTTTCCCCTGAATTCCTTAGCCCACTCCAAATCATGCATGTTGTACAGCTGTGGTTCTCAACCTTCCTAATCCATGACCCTTTCATACAGTTCCTCATGTGGTGGTGACCCACAACCATAAAATTATTTTCATTGCTATGCATAACAGTAATTTTGCTACTGTTAGGAATTGGGCGACCCCTGTGAAAGGGTCCTTCGAACCCAAAGGGGTCGTGACCCACAGGTTGAGAACTATTGTTTTACAGCCTGCCTCTTTTCAGGAAAGAGGAGAAGCCTAACATATTGTGAATTCAAACCTACCCACCCAATCACTTATTCTTCCACTGGGTATTCCCATTTCTGAGCCCACTGCCATGAAGTCAGTTTCAACTCATAGTGACCCAGTAGGAAATGACAGAACTGCATAAGAGTTCTGGTGCTGCAAATGTAGGAAGTGGATAGTCTCATCTTTCTGGCATGGAAAGACTGCTGGGTTTGAAGCACCAGCCTTTGGGTTAACAGCCCAGTGCTTATCTCATTGCACCACCAGGGATCCTCTGTTTGACTCAAGGCTTTGTCAAAGCCCTCTTGAAGGGGTTGGGATTCCCATAAATGGTCACTAGAAGGCAATCAGCAGAATTTGTTGCTTAGGGTGGAAAGGCCAAGTTACAGGGAGTCAAATCTTCACTAAACAATCACACCCATAGTTTCTACCATTTTCATGACACACATGTTCTTTCCTATCAGGGTTTGGGCTTGCTCAGCTCCGGGGACAGAGAGAGATGTGTTGCGAGTAGAAGTCAGGGCAGCTTGCTCGATGAGCTGAAAGTCATGAAGGCACCAGGACCACTCTGTGGTGATGCCCATTTACAGGAGTTAGAGAGGAGTTATAAAGGGGCACAGGGAACCCGCTCCCAGCCTCTGAGACTGAGTGGAGGAACCAATGGTTATGATTGGCGTTGGACATTTGGGGAATGATCTGCCAAAGAAACACCAAAACATACATTACCTGTAAATATTGAACAAGGTTCTAGTGGGCCCTGCTAAGTTAATCAATCAATTTTTAATTTATTACAGTGGGAAGTGGGTTGGTAGTTCTGGGGAATGAGCCAGAGAAGGAGTAGTAAACATTTACCAATTTTAGTAACCTCTCCAGTTGTTCTGGTACAGACCAGCTCCTCCTCTGCATTGCCAGCAATTTCAGCACAAACCTCTCGCTTCACAGCCATTCTCCGCAGGTGTCCTCCAGGTGTTTCCTCACACAGGAAACCACAGTCAGGTAAGACCAGACTGGTATCGCCTTCTTCTTGAAAACCGGTTTGACTTCCTGTTCCCCATCTGAGGCAAAGTCCTACCTTCTCTGTGCTGGGTCTCCCGTGACTCTCTTTCATGTCAACAAATCCACTTCAGTCCCACTGAGCCTTGGAATTATCTCACAAGATCTGTTTGCAGGCCATCTTTTTGGAGTCTGACAAAGTGTGTCCTGGCCCTAAAACAGTGAAACACTTAGCAGTGTATCAGCCCAGAGGACGCACGGTTGGCAGGTCTAACTACCGGTGTATAAGGAAGGGGTGAAAAGAGAGTATCACGTTTTCCTTCATTCTTCAGATTCTTCTTTCTTTCTGTAGCAGCAAAGAAAAAAGTTCACCTATAAATAAATTATCATCC